TTCCCTCAAGTAAAAGCATAGAGCTTAGACTAAGCGAGAGTCTAAGCTTACAGTTAGGCTTGAGCTCAACCCATCAAACCCATGATTATTTGCGTTACGATAGAATATTAGCACGTTAACTGTCCTGTTTTCTTGAAGTGCTTATGAATTTGACTATGAGTACGCTTCACATAGAAAGTGCAGTACGGATTATTCACAAGAAACGATCTCAACTGTGAACTGGGTGATCTCTCTGATAGAAATGTCGATATGCAAGAAGAATGTCAACATTTTTCGATACTCATTGAAAAATGCGCAATGAACTTTTAACAGATTGAGCCAAGTTGACTTATTTGACTCATCTAATTTTAAGCTTTTCCACTCGACCATCTAAAGCTATCGTTTGAAGACGAAACGATGAGTTTGTGTTCGCCTCTCATCCTCACGAACACCGTTGCCTCGCCGTCGTTTGAACCAATCCTCTGGGATGCATTGTGGCCGTCGGCACCATCCTTCCAGCTTCAACAGCAGCTTCAGACCACAATTGAAGGTAACGGCTGGCTGCAAATAAGATCCATTAGATGTGAGCTAGAGAGCAAAATTCAGATATTCGATACTCCCGAGTTGACTAGCAGTCTATATGCAGTGTTGCTTACAATAGAGTTTTTCTGCTCTTTAACGAAACAGGAGGTTCCGCTTTAGAGCTGGAAGAACTGAGTCAAAGGAACCAAGATATAACTGGGAGAGATTCATCCACATTTGAATGGAGGATCACATTCTGGCCGTGATCGAGTGAGTTTATAGACGTTAAGTTAAGGATAATGGAGGAATACCTATAGGAATATTTGCGAAATTTGAAAAGGAAAACGAATCTACTCTGAAAAAATTCAGGAAATTCAACTAACCTCATCAATATCCAGGGAGAAGGCAGTTGATTTCAGACCAGCTTCCAGATCACCCAAATATGATGGGTGTGGGATTAGAGTTGGGAATAGGGAACATCCGAATTCATCAATGATAGGCACAGTCTGAGCATGAATGGCTGTGGTTGTCGATACAGTGCAATTGTAAACCATCATACAGTACATCGGCGCATGACGAGAACCATAATTGCATGACCATCGATGGTAGACAGGTTCACCGATGTGTACTTGTCTGCAGATTTCTCGTTAAGTCGATGAGTCAGTACGAGAAAAGAGGAGAAACAGGTATAGAAATAAAAATAACTGATAGTGCACAGAGGTTTGATTGGATAAATGATCACCAATATAAAAAGAAATACGATTTCGATTCAAGCAATAGACATGAATGGAAATGGATACAGACAGACAGCCTTTTGCATTTGTAACTTATCAGCAAACAGATCTAATGATAACCTTTGGAATAAGATTTCTATCATAGGATAACAACATGATTTGTTAAAAACTGACCATGAAATTAGCTCTCAATGTGAAGAAATGGTGAAGAAATTCGCACTTTTTTAGTTTCAGTATGTGATTTATTAGCTGTCAATCGAAGGAGCTCTGCTCATGTTCATTCGAAAGTCCCAACATTGAAATATAAGAGAAGCACTTGAAACATACAAATGAAATTTTGAAAAATGTTTCCTTTTATTCATTAGTCTGCATTAAGGAAGTGAGGTGATGCTGAAATGATCAACTGGACTGAGTAGAACAATCAGCTATAGATCAGAACTAGGAAAGAAGGATAGAAACGAAGAAATTGACGGCAACATTAATAATGTTATCGTTTGAGGTAATAACGTTACTAGTTTCAGCGATAAAATGAGAACAAGACGAATGCTTGTAATGCTAATGAAATTAGAGCAATGCGAATAAGGACACAATCATAAGTACAATATCGTCAATGATATCTCGGAAATAATAGAAAGAATTCACAACAATATTATCAAGAAGTAGATGAATTCTAATGAAAAGCAAATAGATAGATTTGTTCAACGTCACTGTAATGAAGAATGGAAAATATTTGCTGTGTGATTGGATTCATTCATTGCAACTTCATCTCAACAATAGTCCATTCCATTTAAGTTGTCTGTTGGTTGGCTCACGATTAGCATTCATTCAAGAGTCCGTGTGGTCAATTTCTGCTTGAAAGCACTTTTTTGTTCTTAATAAAAGAAACTCAACGAAAAGTCAGTCATGTTTTCAACTGTTTTTACACTAATTTCCATGCATAACAAAATATACTTTCGTTTTCAAAACGGAAAAAACGAATGTGCAATTGAAGAAAGTAGATGGATGCTTAAGAGGATCCAAAACTCAGTCACAATCGTGAACAGACACAATTTTGACCGCTTTTCATTCCAGCTAACGGTTCGAAGAGGCAGAAGTTTTTATCAGACTGATATTCGTCGAAGTTTGAGTCAATGAGATGGTAGAGGCGATTCGCTGACTCTTACTTCCTGCGAAGGTGCTCGCTCAATATATCGGCGTTATGAATTTCAATTCGAAAGCAATGATGCGTGGAATATAATTCGGCAACCCTTTCATTGCCCAATTAGCTGGAAATCGATGATAGAGCAGAAAATAATTACGCATTTGTAATGAGCTCAGAGAATTGCATGATATTCGATAGAAAACTGCACTAATAGTAAGCAAAAACTTCCTCATGCGATACTGTTTAGTGATAACAATCACATTCGTGACAAAATTAGTGAAAGGTTGAAACAATTTAAGCTCAATAGATCAATGGTCATGTCTCATAGAGTTCTTCAATGCAGCATCAAAGCATTAGATATTCGAATCGGAAGATTATGTTGATTTCGGAACTACAGTCGGACTCGTACGCAGTTGTTGAAAACCTCTTCAACTTTTAAAAACAATGGCAGTAAAAAATTCCGACTTTGGACTCATTACATCCTATATGCGTTCCAATATTGACGGTATCTCCCTACAGAGAAACGAAGTTAATTTTTCATTTCGACGTCTGCAAACGCAGGAAGAGTTGAAGCAAATGCAACGAAAAGCTATAAACTAGTTAACTTGTACATTCGTAATGTGAACGAAATATGCATTCTTCTTACTTCTATTCATTCTTTAATGACACTCTTGAGGCAAACCACTGACGACCGCTCAGTATGCTTCATTTGTTCTTAGAGAACGTTTCGGTAGATCTGTTCGCATGCGCTGGGAAAAGCTTAATGAGTAATTTTTTGCCGAAATTACGACGATTTAGTTCGGCAGATATCAATGACGGTTCGAGCAGAAGCCATAAACTTCCACTGTTCGTAAACCTAGCAAATTTTTAGGCGCAAAGTCTGCGGAATGGTAGAGCCACACATCATAGAGAATAAAAAATTCCAATTATGCAGGTGAAATGCATCAACAGATGTTCAAATGTCTCGCAATTCAAAATACTATTTTAACGAAATTCGGTCAGGAAATGTGGAAGTGTGGAAATGCGGTGAGTTTTTCTAAAATTGGATTGTCTTATTTGCTGCTGGGAAAGAACTCAGTTTTTTTTGTAGTTCGAACTGGGAAGCAGACGAAGCTCAAGAATTACGAATGTGATGGGATAATCCAATGACCAAAAAAAATTAGTGATGTTCGGGAGCCGTCGAATAATTCATGAATGAGTTAAGAAGAAAATGCCCTTAGGTGTTTATGTGGGCCGCGTTTGCTGATCGATAAATCTGCTTAGAGTGCAGATGCAAGTTGTTGGCTTGACTAGATACAATTAATTAGGTTACAAAGCAGACATAACGGCACGGCACCACATCAATCACATCAAGCTTGGAATAATCAATCCGCCGTCACAATCGCTTTCATCATGATGCTGCTCACCTTGTTAAAACAGGTCCCAATCGATCACCCAAGTGCACTTTATACTGGCAATCAGGTCCAGGGAACTGCCCCGCGGGCAGCTCAATAATGTCTTCGTCCAGTATTTGTACCTCCTTCGAAGATTTCCCATAATCTCTCGGCTCAGACGCTCCGATCAGAGTTAAGAAACAGCAAAAACCGACGACGAGATCAATCACCCGTAACCAATAGATCATTGTTGGGAAATGAAGCGAGAAGCTGCAATGGAGGGAGTCATGTTAACATCACGGTCTAGTTTCATTTCCGAACAATTGAAATCGTTTATTGCCAAAATAATGGCAAAGAATTCATGGGTCAGCAAAAACAGCGATTGCGTTTGATGAAAACGCACCTGATGGACAGCGTCAAAATCGATTATCAAAGAGTATTTTGCGATTTCATGAGTTCTAAATCAGTTTCAATTGGGTGCGATTAGGTGTGAGATATT